TACCACACACAGGGCCAAATTCTGCAGTCCCTCGCTCAGGCAAAACTCCTACCGGCTTCAGTGGGGGCTTTCCCTAAAGGAAAGGTGGCAAAACTTGGCCGAGCCATAACTGGAGTAAAATCCAAGAGATCTGTAGCAATTTGCAGTGCATCCAGACCTGGTACAGTTGCTTTCATGGTGCCTTTCTGTGTTAGACTTTGCTACCTGCACTCACAGATGTGATGAGATTTTTTTGCTCTGGATGGTGTTTTTCAGTGCAAAGACATATAGAGAAATGCAGCTCTGTGTTGGCTGGCAAGGTCTTGTCTTGTTGTCGGATGCCCCAGCAGAACTGCTGGACGCTACCCACTTCACAGGGAAAAACCCGCAACGTCCAATAAAACATCCTCAGCGATGAATCTGAACAAAACAGGACACCTGACTGCTTTCCCTTCAGACTTAGAAAATCTGCTAGCAACACTTCTGTGTGCGCTGGGGGTGGGGGCATCCCAGGTACTTGGGGAACGCAAGACTCCGTCAGCTTTCCTAAACGTCGAGCATACAGTCACAATCACAATATCTGCAGGATCAAACACTGACTAGTTTCTCTGCCCCCTTAGCGCTCTCCCCCCGCCTTGCCTACTTTTGTCCATAAAAGCAAAAGAGAGAAAGCTTGAATTTTCTGAACTGTTTCACCCATCCACAGCTGGAATTCCAAAGTGAAATGAAAATGCCTTTAAAATCAACCCTACATGGGAGCCTGAGAGAACAAGTTTTCCTTTGTTGTAAGGTATAGTATTATTTGCTGTAGGTTTTTGATATACATTCTAAATTAGGCCTGCAAAGGAATGCTTCATCTTTAATTCATCACTCTCAGCTGAAAGAGATTAGCAATGTCTAGCACGCACCCTTCGTATGGTGCTGACCTCATCAAGTATGGCCTGAAATTAATTAGCCTCATTCATTCCAAATGGAAAAGGATAATGGAGCTGCATTTTAGAGATGACCATCACAAATTGTATGCAGCATATTGAAAATCCCCCCCGCCCCACTCCCCTCCCCATTTAAAAACTATGTAGATTAAAATTCTTTCCAGAACTCGCAATATGTCAGAGTTATCAAGGCATTAAGAGCAGAAACCATTCAGTTTTTATTTGTGGAACTGGGAGCCACATTTCGTGTGTGCGGCTGTAAAAGCAGCGAGTCTGTCTTAATGGCAGAACACCTGGAATTAATTTGGTATTTCCAGGTGCTCTGGCATACTGGGGCATCAAGGCACTTGATATTTAAACATTTTTCCGCTCGCTCACTTAAATCAATATGAAAGTGGTGTCCCTTTGTCATTCATACATGCAAAGTGCTAGCACAAACTCCAGCTTGGCTTTAGAGTCCTACATCACTCATAATCTAATTAGAAATCAGAGCAGAGCTGAAGCAGCATTCTTTGTGGATTCTTGGGCAGCAAATAGGGATACTTCTCTTTTGTTTCCCTTCTCGATTGCATCGTTCACAAGCGTTCACGCCAGACCTCTGAAGGTGGTTAGGTGCCTCAAGATGTTGACAGGCATGAAGGACGAGATTATTAAAGGTATTTAGGTGCCTACTCTGGCTGATTTCAAATGGAATTAAGCAACTGGACATTACTAGGGGAAAAAAAAAAAGCTTTCGCTGTGTATGAAAAGGTCTAAGCTGGCATCCCAAACCCTAGCAACACAGCTGATATTTTTCCAGGATAAAACTGTCTGCAGGGTAATTTCACTGAAGTCTGCTAATTTTTACTGATGTCTGTGGGCACTTAGCTCCTCAACTTTGAGCCGTGTACTGCAGCCCAGTCCGCCAGGTCAGCGAGCTCATTTGCGGCTGGGAACTGTGGTGGCATGTGCTCTGGTTGTTTCCCTAGAGATAAGGAGAATAATAAAGAACGTGGGATTTCCCAAAGGAATTTGGAAGATACCTATGTCTAAGACAATAGGGAGGATTGGGCCAAAATCCAGATCTGGCCTGGACTCCTCTGTTTGAGTGTTTCAGCCTCAGACTGTGACTGCTGTCACAGTTCATCATAACGACATGGACATTTCTCCCTCCTTGCTCCCCGGCATTAGACAACAAAGAAAGTTTGAGATAATACTTTGAACAAGAGACATGCTTTTCCTCACACCAAATAACTCATCGTGACACTGGATTTTGAAATGACAAGGTCAAGATGGCCTATATCTGTTATTCTAGGGATCGGAGAATATTTGTGTGGTTTTTATGCCCAAGGGTGGATACACAGGGAAAATGTGTTGTGATATCTGCTACAATCACCTGGAAAACTGAAATTTAATTATTTTTCTTGAACCCAAACAAATGTTAGCCCTCCAAAGACTCCACTCACTAAGACTGCCATTGAACCTGGACTGAACACACTATTATTACTAAATGAATTTACATTTGTCTACCATGAGTAAAGCTGCTCACCATCTGATAATCCAAATTTGCTCAGGAAAAAAGAATAAGCAAATGTTAGAAGCAGCGGGTGAACTCATACCATAGCTATTAAGCCTGCTTTCAGGGGAAGCACAGGATAGATTAAATTGTTACGTTAGGCCATGTTGTGAGTCCATATCAATTTTGTTGGAGATCTTATCGTAGCTCATAACTGTTTCCTCCTAAATTAAACTAAATGCTGAAGACACCAGCAGCATATTGACCCAAAGATTCAAAAGTTTGGACTCAGCAGCCTTCTGGTCTTTTGTCCACAGAATATTGATTTATAAAACTTTAGATATTAAAATAATCATGATTATCTTCAGCTTGCCTAAGTTCATTTGTCAGGCCGAAACACTGGCATGGATTTCCCTTATTGTTTTTTTAGAACAAGACCTTGATTCTGCTAGAAAACTGGTTTGAGTTGCCACAAGTCTTACAGACTGTTGTCCTCTACTTATATTGAGTCTCAGGTACTGATCAGATTTGGTCACAAATTCAACCTCTGCTGCTCTTAATCTCTCTTTTCCAAATATCATTGTCCAATAAAAAAACAACCTCCCCTCCCCCCAACCAAAACAATGACAACCAAAAAACTCCCACCAACCAATCAAACACAGAAAAATCCCAAACCCCAAACCTGACAGGCAAAATAACCAAAAAATTCTAGTACTTTGTTCAGTTGTTATCATGCACAAACAGTTCTTGAGATTCAGAAATGCCATGTAATTCACCTGCGATAAGAAATCAAATTTAAAAATGAGCCGAATGGACATTTTTAGGGATAAGTACGTTTCTAAATAGACTAGCTTTTTAATTGCACCTTTTCTATATTAGTACTAAAAAACAACACACACTGCACTTGGAGGAACTCAGATGAGTTTGAATTGTTGTAATTAAATATCACGTTATTTCTTGCAGCAGAGTCAAACATGGAGTTTTACTCCCAACACAAGACTTTTCTCAAGTAGGGACAACTTAGTACAGCAACAATTTTGGCTCCAAGTGGTTCCATAATTTTTTTAGAAAAAATGTCATTACCAAAATGCATGGCACAGTTCATTCCTGGTGTCAGAGCACTGAATAAATGGAGCTCTAGAAGAAATAATATTATTTAGTTGCCTTTTAAATACAAATATAATGATCATACATTAAATAATGTGATATATTGAGCCAGACTTCGAATTATCTACGTACCAACTGTACATTCATTCATCACTTCATCCACTCAGCTGTAATGTTGGCTAGTGGTAGATACTGACAATAAGCCATAAGATTTAAATGGGAAGAAAAACAAGGGGAGTGCAAGGCTATATATTAGCTTAGATGAGCAGGATGTCATTGCCAGCATGAATTTGTTGATGACACCAGGCATTAAGCAAGTAAATCTTTACCCATTCAAGCAACAGTCCACTTACTTTCAGTAAAGACTTCCAGGAGGCAATGCAGCAGAAGATTTACAACGGGAGGTACCTCTGTACTAATACTGGCTGGGAAACCCTAAGCGAAATACAGTGATTCAAAATGGAGGCTCACCTTTTCATTGAAAAATTTAATCTTCTATGTTAGTCTCACTTTAGACAAGGCAAGAGTTTGGGTTTGTTCTTTTTCGGGGTGGGGAAGGATTTTTCTTTCTGTGAAATACCAAGCTCACAGAGTCATTTGGGATAACTTCTGCTGTCATCTAAGAAGAATATGGAGATGTTCAAAGATACAAAGGCAGCATGCAGTTCCCAGTATGGGGGGGCTTCAGTTGAGGGCTGAGGCTTTACAAACTCATGTGTGCGAGGTCTTATCCTCCTCTGGGTTTTGGTGCACTCCCATTCATACCTGACGCCAATGACCTATAGCGGTTTCTGCTAAATCACTGAACATTGCAGATTCACGCATACCTGGTGAGTACGTGTGCTCAAAAGGCATGTGTGCTGCTAACCACTGCAGGGAGCAGTTCTTTATCCCAGCTAAACTATTTGGCTCCTCTTCTGCAAGACTCTCTTTCCATACATGCTATTGCCACCTTCATTTTCACTTAATAACAATATAAATGAGTGCTGTGTTGGTGTAATTACAATACTACTTCTTTTACTGCAAATACTGGAAGTCCAAAACCTGTAATTCACTTTTTTTGATACCCTTCTGTTCTTTCACTAGACATGTTATTTTAAAATGCCTAGGACCTGAAAGCTAAATTTATATAGTGACGTATAATAGCAATGGAAACTAAGCCTCCCCGTTAGCTCAGGTTTTAGAGCTGTGTTACGTCTCTTTGCCTTGTTTGGTGCCTTGTTCACCGAGAAATATCACACCCACCACTCTCCAAAGGGTTCCAATGTCAGAATCAAACAGGACGAAGCAAGACATGTCCCCATCTGTTTAACTCAAGGTAAGATTCTATGAAAACCTAAGACTTATTGGCCTGGAATAAGTTTGCTTTTGCATTACTCCATGGCAAATTCAAGGGCAAGCAGCCACAATGGACGAATAAAGGCATTCTCTCTCTCAACCATGAAGCTGGCACACCTTTTGTAACACCTGATACTCTTCTTTTCTAGGGATGAACCATCACAAGGCTGCGACAAAGGCTGAAAAGCCTGGGGACCAACAACACACAGAAACGGCTGATCCAGTTGGGGCTCTAACTGCCGCCAGGTGATGGTTCAGCTACCAGTCACAGCCCAGAATAACAGAGGCTGGAGAAGCACAGGTTAAACTGTTCCTGTTTTTGCCTCTTCAGTGATTTGAGCTGTATGAAGCACTGAGAAACAGGCCAATGTGAGTACAAGACCAAGCATGCTTTTGGTGCTCCCGTGGAATATACCTGAAGTACGAAGTTTCACCCTTCACTTCTGCAGGTAGGAGCATGTTGTGTAGGCTCAGTCTGACTTACACATTTTGTATTAGTGAGGAGCAAGACAATAATGCATGCAACCCATGCAAACCCTCAGCCTCTGCTAGAACTGACATGGTTTCATCATTTTCTCCCTATTTCTGAATGAGTAAGCCAGCATGAGAAGGACATACTGTGGCACATCCCACTTGATAGCTGAAAAGAACAAACTGACAAACGTTTTTAATAAGTTGCAGCAACATCCCAGTGAATAAATGGTGACACTTTCCGTTGGTTATTCATAGACGTACATGGATATGATGATAAACTGCCACTGAGTCCAGAGACTGGATAGAAATAAATCACCAGATAAAATACAATTTTCTTTGTGAAAATCTTTACGGAATGTGTTCCTGTCCCAAAACACTACTGGAATTACATGCAGTAATGCTCCCTGAGACCTGGCAGCCCTTGTAAGTGAGCATATGGTCTGCTCAGCTCTTGCAGTACCATTGCACGGTAAGTAAACACATAGCAATGTCAAAGCAAACAATAGACTACTTAATAGCATGAAATTCTGTGGCTACTTCAAACTTTATCAATACTTCAGAAATGGATTCCCTTTCTCTGCTCACAAGCTGCGCTGTTGGAGCACACAGTTTGCAGGAAAGGTAGGAGAACGTTGAAACAATTTTCTTTGGGGAGTAGAGGGCATTTGTAGCTATCTCCCACAGAAGCTGATGCTACTGTGGAAGGGTCCTGGTATATTAGAAGTTGCATTTCCTGGTGACACTATACCTTCTTTGTTTCTTTGCATGTTCCCTGGTGCAATGCAAACTAGACAGTGACTGGAATAGAGACTGTGCCCTTAAGATAAAAATCCCACTGTTAATCAAGGCTAGCATAGGGCAGAATATTAGCAAGGGTACTTGTATTTCTGAAGGAGTCAACCAAGCTAGGCTAGTTGATGCTAGCAAAATGAGTTGGTCCTGCCTCTTTGCTTCTCTCTCTCTGGCAGAACATTATACTGAAATCACTGGAGCAGGGATCAGGCCAGGAATGAGTGGCTGAGTTGCAAAGCAAATTAATTCCTGCCAAAAAAGTTCAGCTATGCTTAGAAGTATGTAAAGTGTCTGATTTGAGAAGTGTCAAGTAGCATTTGTGACCAATTATCCAAGATGAAGGGGGCAGAGCTATGTTTACATGTACTAATCTTCAGCCAAAGTTTGAAAACTCAAATTCATGGACATGCATCAAATTTCCTTTCCAGGCTTGGCATTTGCCAGCACGCACGCACGCACATTGCTTGGGGATGACAGGAAAACATGATTACAACTTGCAAATAATACAAAGGAAAAAAAAAAAAGTGAGGGGAGCTACCACGCAGCAGCAGTAGTATGGTAATTAAGCCTATACTGTCATATGCGAAAAAAATCGTGGATCACTGTATGAGTAAAATAGCTTTATCAGCTAAGCTGAAATACTGTGTGTGATGTGTCTGTATTGTTATTTTCCCACAACCTCTGAAGCCCTGGGAAATGATCTACACAAAACAATAAGAAATGAAAGCTGCCTCTGCCATCTTCTGTGTAATTAACACAGGTATACCGATTTAATGCAATTAATCAAGATACTATGGCTTAAACAGTAACTCATAGCTGACAATGACAATGTTATCATTACTATGGCACAAGAAGGCTAGAAAATGATTGTGGTGACTAGAAACACTGTGGACAAGAATAATGTTGCAGGAGTTTTGGGTAGGATTCAGAGGTAGATGCAAATTGATTGAAACTTTGGGGCAGCTGATTTTTCATTTGGCCAAGTGTTTAACTGCTCCTGCCCTCCCCTTTCCCTTCCTAGACCTTCCATAGTAACCCCCAGAACGGCAACAACCTTTAAAGCAATTCTTTCTTCTAACAGGTTCTTGATGATAAAGGTCTGACCTTAAAATGAGGTCACGAAGAAGACAGCAAGAATGGTTACTGGAGGGAGCTCCTGGCCTTCAACCCTTCCAACCCTTCTATTTGAGTAGCCAGTGCAGTATATCCATGATGGTGAGAGAACAGAGCCTTCCAGCTAAGGACTTTTCAACACATTAACTCTACCAGTGCTGGATGTTGCATCACTATGTAGGCTGCCTGTGTCTGTTTAATAACCTCAGTACAAACTTGCAGAAGCTGGATATCTGCAGCTTCCTGTAACTTCACAGTCATATTTTAGTGCCCACTGCATCTGAAAATCCAACTGTTCTTGGGTATTTACATGAAGATCTGGGGACGACTGTGACCACTCATACCACTTGGAGTAGTTCAGACTTCAGCTTTCTTGCCTGCAGGAGAAGCACGGGCTGATTTGCTGTAATGCAACTGCCCTCATTGACGTACTTCAAGCCCTGATGTACTGGGACCACCATCTATGGGTGAGAAGACGACTGAGTTTCCTGGGCTCATCCTCTGCCCTTAGCTTAAGAATGTTGAAATTGGGTGATAATGAGTAGTAACTATGTCACTTCTTATGGTGAAGTTGACACTCACCTTCCAGTAAACAGACACAGAGATGACCCTTCTCATTTCACACAGGTCACCAAACAGCCCCTGGGATGGTAAGGGTTATTGGTCATTTACCAAACTCTGTTTGACATGGGTTCATGGGTGAGAGATGAAAGGCATGATATTGCATTACCAATCCCTGGGGCTAGCCAGTCTCCCTAAAGAAGCTTTTCAGTTAGCAAGGCAACTGCTAGCCTATGGGAATCAAAGAGTTAAGGAAAAAAGGCCCCAGTTACAACTGCTAATGCTTCCTTAGGACAGATGTCTTAAAGCCACACTGAAACTCACTGCCACAGTGCTGCAATAGCGACTCCAGGACACTTAATGGCAGGCATATTTTTCCAAAAACTAACCTCGCCTTCCTCCCATCAAAACAGCCATTAGGTTACTTACAATGTTTCTGTCTCTGCCCTGTTCTGCTCTGCTCCATCTCCCTGGCAAAGATGATCTACACTTTGGGGCAAGCCCAATGTAACAGTTATTGTGTGAACTGTTACATTTTCTAATAGCTTAAAAGTCTAGGTACCATGTGCCTTTCCTGGATGAAACAGCCAGCAAGTGCTCTGGCTTGATGGGATACACTGTTTTTCACACCTGAAAGAACAGGATAGACAAGGGGATATTTCATGCAACTTCTGAAGCCCTCCTGTTTGTGAGGAAGGAGGAGCAAGCATTCTGAAAGCTTGTCCCCATTTTTCCCATTGATATAACACCTAGAGCTGTTGGGAGCTCAGGAGGAGGGAGATGTTCTTCTGAGTTAAACTATCCAAACATTTTCAATATCCTAGAGCAGAGATGCTAAGCTGATTTTCTTGGCTCTGAAGGAGAGGTTTTTGGTAATAAAATAGTCAAAGTGCTGCCTTTTTCACAGATGATGGATGCTACGCTTAATGTTATAACAGTTACAGGAAGAAGAACATCTGTTGCTCAGACAAACCAAGAATTTAACCCAAACCCATCCCAGCTTTCTTCTGATCTCAAAATCCAGTGTTGTTCCGAATTCATTGCCACTGGTCAAAAATCCTCTTTCACTTTTCTCCCTCGCTTGTAATGTGAATCATGAGACACTGGGAAGTTTGCATTTGCTATTTGCATGATAAGTTCATATTGTTGTGGTAACAGTGCATCTGCTGAGTCAGCAACTCTATTTTTTTTAATACCCCATTTCCAGCAAGTTTTATTGCCCAGTTCCTGCTCACAACCAGGGAACAGCTGTAAGTCGACAGAGCAAATGAACAACAACTAGAAGGTAAGTGAAAAGAATAGTAAATGCAGGCCATTCACGTGACAGGATCCAATTCATTTTTATGCCAGGGAGATTTTTAAGTGGGACTTCTCCCAGTGGAGAGATCACAGCGCTCAAGGCCTGGTTCACTATAAAGACAATACATAATTTATTCAGAGTTTATTATTATTTTTTATCACTAGTTTACCAGTCACACAGAGTGAGGGCATAGATGAGATCAGGGCCTAGTTTATTGCTACGTATTGTACAGTCTCCAAGTAAGAGCCATAGAAAAAGAGCTATCTGCTTTACAGAGCTGATCCAGGCTGCGAGTTAAAATGACTGGTCCTCAGCAGCAACGCTGGGAACCCAGCTTAGCACTCTTTATCCCAGGATGTGCTGCTTGTTGATTTAAACATCTTTTCTTTTTATATTTATTCTGAATCACTGAAAGGACTAATTGAATAAATGCCATTCCCTTTGGAGCACTCTTAATTGTATTTATGGAGAACAGATTATATATTCTCTCAGTTTAGTGGAGATATTAAGAGTGATACACTCATCAAGAAAAACTGCACGTTGGGTGTGACTGAGAATCTTGTGTTTTATTCTGCAGTGCAATCTTAACCTCTGGTTGTGGTATGACAAACTATGCAGGCGCTGGGACTACCATGCCATCCTATTCTACTCTTTCAGGCTCCAATCAGAAGTTGCATTGGGAAGAAGCAGCTTCCATGGAAAGACATGAATGAACATGAATATTATTCCAGGGTAAGTGGATTTTTGTTCAATTTGGGTTTTATACAATATAAAAGTCTGTCTTTAATTGCAGTCTAGTCATGAAACTGTGCTTGAAGACTGCTTGTGCAATTCAATAAAGCATACATGTACACAACAGCAATACTCATACCACTTATATTTCAAATTATTTTACCAGGTCAGCCTTTTGAGATTTAGCATTTCACTCAAAAGTGATTCAGTAACACGTAATAGTTGTGCTACCTCTCTACCTTTTGATGAACTGGCCAATTAAAAAAAAAAAAAAGACTATTTATATTATAGTGTATTGTAACATTTCTCCATTGTCATATTTGAATAACTGAGGCTTTTACAAAAAAAGTAAGATCTAAAAATAACTCTCAAAAACAGAACAGATGCATGTTGCCATTTTCTCGTTGGTGCTTGTAAGCCTTGGATTATCTTACGCAACCTTTCCACGTTGGCTAGAGTTTTACTCTTTGGTAGTTTTGTTGAAATGCAGAAGGTAGTGATAACAGATAATGTGTATTACAGTTTTCTTTAGAGATGAAATCAGAGAAGTATTGAAACTTCCCTGATTGATTTCGAGTTTAGAAACTACTCAATACCAGCAGCATATATGACCCTCTGTGCTAATACTGCTGCTTTAAACCAATTTATTTAGTTATTTTGACTTTAACCACTTAGATGCATGCACTCTGCATGCATTCTGCACGCACTACTGAAACAGCAGTGACACAAGACAGCATGTTTTAGATCATGCAGTCATTTCCATCCTGGATTTCATGAGGGAATTATTCTTGTTTCAGAGAGCAATCATTCAAATATCCTTCTACATTTTCCAGGTGAGATATTAGGTACTTCCAAGAAATACCCAGAAAGGTGCTGAGAAAATGAAAAGTTTCTGCCTAGTCAAAAAGCTCAACAAAAGTATATCTGCATCTCTGAAGGTTTTCTGCCTTCAGAAAAGTGTGACTGAAAGGGATGTAGAGTATTTACTTTACTGACTAACCATCAGCTGCTCTCTGTCCCCAGAAACAGTTTAGAAAATGACTGAAAGAATCTGATGATACTAAAAGGATAATTAAGTTTCATTGTGGAAGTAAGAGGGTAATCTGTCTAGATAGATCTAGGATCTTAGTATTGAAAACTGTAGCATCTGCATGTGAAAAATGAGTAATTTCACTCCAAGATTTCTGTCAGGATTATAAACTCAAGGAGTAAAAAAGTAGCTTTGCTTAAGAGACCTTCTCCCTCTCCATCGTCTTCTAACTCATTTTCTTGTTCTCATTCTTCCTTTTGTGTTACTGGAAAAAAAAATCTTTCATGAAATCTGATACTGAGAATACTTTAGCTTCATCTCAATCTTCTCTTCCGAAATGTTTTTTTCCACTGCGAAGATTCCCCTTATAAGATAACCTTAACTATGTCTCTGCTGAGAGACTCATTTGCTGAGAGAAGAGCTATGTTTTAAGGACTCTGAGGTAGCCAGGTCTCCACTCTTCTGAGGCTCTTAAAGATGGTTTTGAACTGGCATGAAAAATCAGCTGGGACTCAGAGCTGACCACAAGGTACTTAGGACAGCATTTTCTCTGCACCTTTTTCTGCTGAGCAGAACAACTAGCGCACTGTAAACAAATGTGCTTTTTGCCTCATTCTTAGATGCTGTGAGTCACACAGGTCCACTTTAGATGTGATGAATGTATAGATCCTTGTGACCGGATCACAATCTATGAGTAGCTAACGTTTCCTGAAAATGTCTAGGTGAAATAAAGAATATTTTGCTACTATTACTATATTGGTATCAAGGATTACTGATGAGGCCAATATGATCCTGAGGCTTTGTGCTACTGATATTTAAGTACAATGCAGAACTAACTACAGGGTCTGGTTAGCAAATTCCTTCCCGGATTAGGATATTCAGCGCTTGTACTGCTGGAAACAGAACCTGAAACTATACAGACTTGCCTGTCTCCAGACTTCCCCATAAGCCCCAAACTTAAGTTCACTGACTTACTAGCTTTTATAAAACTTTTCCACTAGGTTCCCCTGATTTTAGCAGCGATATTAATAACAAAATTACACAGGAGCCTTCAGAATGAGTAGGACAGTGATATACCAAGTCCCTATAAAAACTTATGTCTCTTCTTCATTGTCTGTGGAGGAAACCTAAAGATACTACGTCTCTAATGTGAGTGTAGAGGAAATACAGAGAAATCTATACTGATTGAAACCAAATGTATTCCACACACAAAATCTGCTAGGGCTCATGACTTCCTCTATCTCAACAGACAAAAACGAAGCCAGTAGTTTCTAAGAAAGCACACGGCTTCTGTGGATTCAGATTTTAAAAAGATGTCTAGTTTCGGTGCACAGATCACTCAGAACCAGTCAAGTTTTGCATGGCTGAAAGAAGGAGGGAATGAGTTTTACGTATTTTGTGTCAGTGTGACAAGACTGCTTCTGTGTACAGAAAAAATGCACCGAAAATGCTGAGAAACTGCAAAACTTTCTCAGCAAAATATTTGCAGTTTTGTCTAGCACTGTCCTAGGGATTCTTTTGCTCATATTCATTTATATTTGAAGGCCTTAATTTGGTTTATCAGTTCGGTTTCTATGTAGGTTCAATTATTGGTGCAAACTCCAGAAACGGAAGATTTTAGATACAGATTGATTAGGTATGTGAGCATTAAGGACACTTTTAACTAAACTCTCTGTACATATCGCAGTCCCACTGAAGCCAATATATCTATGTATTCAGGTCCCTCTGAAAATCCTGCCTGGAAATGTAGAATTGGAAACTGTTTGTGAAAATTTTGGCTTATGAATTTTACAGGAGACTCAGGAAGTCCTAGCAGTGGTACTCAGGCATCACTGTCATCAGTGATGCTGTTTAGGTTATAACGGCTACTCTCAGCACAGCCTCATTGCCTTCTAACAACCAAGGTTCAGGTCTTTATTATTTGATAATGGGGTCTCACAAAAATGAGAAGTGAAAATCAGGAGCAGCTGATGCAGGAGACCATGCTGGCCATTGGACAGAGAATGGCAAATCATTTCATGTCTCCTTGCTATGCTTTCCCTGTCAAAGGAGAGCTAGTATTGCCTGTTTCCTCTGCCAAGAGGTTATGAGGGTCATAGGCTGGAAGTGTTCTCTAAGGCCTATGGATTACTGCCACCTCTCTGGACCGTGAGAAGGTTACCTTAAAGGTGATGGCACTTATGACACATGACTTATGATACAAGCCATAGCGTCCACAGATCACAGTCCATGTATTGTTGCTCTAAAACTTAGAGAGGAAGTGACTAGAAAAAGAGGGAGAGAAACACCAGGGAATAAAAGTACTTTTGAAAGAGAAGAAATCTACATTTCAATGAAAATCCTTTCAAGGCATTTCAAATAAGAGTCTGAGAGAAATAATTACAAAGTTTGGAGAGAAAGAACGTTAGCTTTGATATCTTTTTCTTCTATGAAGCAATTAAAATAAGCAATTTTTCAAATACTAAGCAGAAAATTACTAATGGCTGAACCCAAAAGCTTTCATTTCCTTCTTGGGGCCTTTATTCTTCTAAAAAAAGACAAAAAAAATGTGAAGGTGGTTTTCCAGATAGATTAATGCATAAAGCAGTCGCTAGTTGGATGTCATAAAAACTACAGCAGCATAGAATAGCTGAGATTAAGAGCTAGATTTAAATCATGCAACAGTCCAGTTAATATCGATGTCTAATTAAGAAATGCATAAGAAGTCTGTAATGTTGATTTGATGGAGAAAAACTCTAATAGGGTTTCTTTTGGAATTTTCCATTTCAATTGCTGTGTAGACTTTTAATGGATGTCCTATCCAGTCTTTGGTATTAGCAGGAACCATCCTCAAATTAAAATCAAGACCTAAAATGGAACACAGGTAGACAAATTAGCTTGTCTGGAAAGCAGTCTGCATAGAATGACAATGTGAGCTCAAGCCGAAATTTTAGTACAAATAAAAGAACAAATGTCTCAAGTGTGGCATGGAAACCCTATCTGCTTACCGTTTTAAACAGTTTAAAACGCTACAATTTTAAACAATGCAATATTAAATCATTTCTCCACCTCTCTAAGCCTGCTGAAATCCCTTACAATTCATACATAGAAATCTGTAGACCATTAAGCATTATTAATTATTCTTTTTAAACAGAAAAGCTTTCTATAGTTATGTATATTAGTTGTAGGTAGAGGTGGGTTTTTCTTAGCTTGCAATGGGATTTAGAGCACACAGTTCCCTATCACTATCAACAAATTCCATTAATTCCCCACTCCTCTCTGGGTAACTACAGTTCCTAAACACTTTGAGCAAAAGTAAACCTGTGGCAACAACTACGTCGCACAGATCATTAGGGATGTTTGATCTCCAGGTACAAAAGAGAAATTGGTTTTAAGCTGCACGTCATTGATGCCCTAAAGTTGCTAAACTATGAGCAGTGTAACTGTTGGCATGTATAAATCCACATAGCAAAGACAGAGAAAGCACAGCACAAAATTAAAGCAGCAGTGTATTTGTTACCAGCACTTTGTTGTTGACCCACCAAATCCGGAGGGAATTATCTCAAGAATCCAGGAAGACAGCAAACTCAAACTAAGCCCTGTGACCTGGGGAGCAAGCACACTGAGGAGTCATTTTAAAGTTCATTAGAACACACTAAAATACAATGCATTGGCCGTGGTAAAACAAGGCGTATTATTTCATCTGTCTACGTATTTCTTTCCTGTACTAAATCTATCCAGAGACCTTTCAGAATTATATCATTAAGCCTGACACTTCACTTAGCAAACAAAGTGGAAAAGATCTGAGGTAAAATCAGAATAATAGTGAAAGTTCTACGCTGTGAGTCACCATTATTGCCTGAAATGTCATGGTCTAAATTCAAGCCTGGCATTACTCCATTGATCAATTAGGCACAAATACATCATATTAAATAGTGATACCATAGCACTTGGGATGCTCTAAGGATTTTTCTTCTTGGGAGAGAAGGGGATGAGGACATTCTCAGCGAGGCATCCACAGCTCTGAATGATTCTAACAAATACAATGTGGTGACATTCAGGTTATCACATGAGTCTGATTTTTTTTCCTCCTCCTGACTTTATATGACTGAGAACGTATAACAGATAAAGATGCTTCCAGATGATTGCTCAAAATGGAACACTGCTTTAGTAGATTGCTTTGTCTGCAAGCTGTGTTGGATTTATGCAATATTTTGAAAACAAGAGTATGAACAAGACTGCTTTTTGCAATAATATACAACAGACAAAAAATAACAAATCTTAACTTGGTCAATAAACTTGAAAGGAATATATTCTGTTAGCTTTACTAAACGAGAGGAAAATTTCTACTTTACCCCAAAACAGTCTTTTTAGATATTGCTACAGTCATGACTGCACCACAGTTCAGGTATTCCTTCTGAAAAGATTAACATAAACCACTATGCCAGTGATCTCATTACAGCAAATCCAGCATGCAAAGACAGTACTCCTCTCAGTGAATTTCACTGCTATTGACGTTTCACGGAGGAAGAAAACTGATGAAGGGGATGGTAGTACAGTTCAGATAGTGATGGGAAATCACCCATCACTTGGGATGTGTAAGGGACGCATCTTATGGGGGGGAATCAAGAGAACCTCAAGGCTTCACTTGCATGAAAGAGCAGAAAAAGCATCATAGCATCATTGTGGAAAAACAAACTAGACGTACAATGCCAGAGATGCTTTTTTTCCAACTTCTGATAAACTATTTGGATTTGTCCTACCTAATTTGTGCCTGTCACATCTGTCATTCTTTTAGCTGTCTCTGTGTCTGTTCACTTTCCCTTCTCCCTCTATCTGTACCTTGTCTCTTATGAGCCCTCAATACATGTTTTTCCATATACCTCTGATTATTCTTTGATCCCCCGATCAAAGAATACCCCCCTGATATTCTTCTATACCCCTACTATTCTGAACTGTATGCAAAATACATTTTGCAGAATATATACATACCATCCTGCCTTTACACAAAAGCACACACATGCTTCATCTATAGCTCAGGTTCTTTTGGCTAAAAACTGTTTCCTACATGATTACACAATTCTTCACCAAGGGAGTCCTTACATTATGACAGCTCTGACCTAGATCAGGCCCTTGAACACCATCTAACAGAACTCAGGAGGATGGGTAGGAAGAGATGTTTTCTGTTTTCTTTGGTAGAAGAATCTATAAATTAGTTTTTGTGTAACTGAGAATACCACCACATTTATAATGTTGTTCCACATTCTGAGACGCAAAACAAGAAAATCTCCAGAACACGAGTACAGTGTTGATAATGTAATCTTATCTCCTGAGCATATGGGTATGCCTCAGCTTTGCCTTGAGATCACACAGTTGAGTGATGAGGTGATAAAGCGGTTTCCCAACTCAACCTGAATGTCATGTAACCACCAAGGGACCAGTTTTGATGACGGGAGTGTTTTCTTCCACATCCCCTAACTTTTCAGCGAAAGATGTGTTAGTGCTACCAGAATATGTTCCAATCCGGCAGGCCTCCCGTATGACTTCTGCTCCATAATCCGAGGCAGGCAGGAATGGCTGCCACCTCTTGATCACTGTACACTTGGCAGGAAGAGACGAAACTGCTCATTTCCATCTGTGGCATTTCTCAGCCAGGAAGAAAGCCACAAGGCATCAAACTGTAGGCTGGGAGGCATCAGAGCAGTCACCTGTTAGACACTGACAAAGAAAACTCAAAAAACTACAGAGCAGAGATGAATTCCCAGGATTAAGGAAAACAGACGTATACATTCTGAGGGTATCTTTCTAACCACCAAACATGATTTTTCCTTCTAGATGAGGCAGAGGGCACAAACACGCTCGGCAGATTTGTTTCAGTGAAGATAGCACCGATCAGTGATTAGCACTGTAGGATAATACATGCTGCGGTGTTAGTGGAAGTCCAAATGGCCCAAGCTGCAGTGCAGAGCATCTGTTATCAGTGAGACAATGGTGCGTGAAAGGCTGTTGTAATTTCTGGACTCATGAGCCTATCTGGAAGCACTTCCCAACGCAGAGGGGAGTCAGAGAACACTGGATGTGCAAAAAGATCTCATCTCCCCACAGATTTACCAGGTCAGCTCAGTCCAGGCCAAAGGAGCAGGGACTAGGTCCTCAGTTCTATTTTAAGTTCATTGCTCTATTGATTACGAACAGGTATTTATAGCAGATCAGCATCTTGAACCAAGACTGGCCTATCAGCTAAAGCTGTATGAACTAAATCATATGTTCCCCAACTACAGATAAAACCAATAGCCAATTTTTGCCTAATCATCCCTTCTGCCAAAGAAAAGAGAAACTCTTTGAAGTATGATCCCTTGGAGGCTGTAGCTAATACATATCCGAGTCGTAATGTGGATTTGCACCTTTCCCATTAAATACAGCTGCTTTGTGTCCAGAATATTGCTTCCAGTACTAATGCTCACTTTTATCTTTACAAATTCTACATTAGCTGCAAGTGTGAAATGCCAACTGATTCTCAGGTCTCTTGCTGTCTGTAAGATTAAAATCTTGATACGTGACTCTGCTACTGTCCACAAAACCCAACATAAGGGCATCTCTGCTGCTGACTCTCTTCTGATCTCCTGCTATGAATCTATGCGGTTTTGGGCTTTATGAATCAAGGGCTCAGGTCCCAAGACTAACATTTTTACTGCAGTCTTTTGGATAGTTAGTTCTTCAAGGCAAAAATCATTCTTGTTCCATGCTTGACTTTGTATAGTATAATGTAACAGAGTAATGCAAAATGCTCAAGCTTGGAGGAGACTTCCCGGCACCAAGACAATACAATAAATACATTACTGGACAATGTTTGGATATAATTTTATAACATAAAAACGTGTGTCACATGACTTCTGCTAAGTGAACTGAAATTATTTGCTCTATATGCAAAATATTTGCTGTTCAACAGGTAGATTTTGCCAGTCTTCATATGTGGGTACCTGTATAGTTTATATTAAAAAGGAAAAAAAGATGTGCTTCTCAATGCTACATCATACAAGAGAAGTCAGGACACCAAAAAGTAAAAAAAAGAGTATAATATGTTCAGCAGCTTCAGAAAGTTGCTTATGTCCAATGTCTCACTGCTTGGACTGTGCAGACATTCATAGTGGAAAAAGCTGTCTAATAAGAGCTCCTGTAGAGGCAGTTCTCCTGGAGCCTGCCTTTCACAAAGTCATCCAGATTTGTTTTTTGGGACCTTCAAAAGAAGAGTTCAAATACTTCTACTTCCTCCTGTTAATATATTTTTTCCCACCCCCAAAAAGTCTTCTGATTGTAATGTGTTCGCACTTGATACCTAGACACTGGTTTCTGTTCAGTGACCTTTAGGACATAGTATTTTGTGCCTCATACATTTTACATGATATAAAACACCGACGTCAGTTTAATGCAGATGCTGGCAAAACTGTTTTCAATTAATATGATTTGATAATCCTATATATGCCTAATAACTTCTGGATTTCTGCTAATCTAAATGTCCCTCAATATCCTGGAATAAAGACTCCCACAGGTAATCGTATATGCTTTTTTTTTTTTTAAGCTGTCTTCATCTACTGTAAATACTTGGTCATTTAATGTCATCGTGATCTGGGTTATTCTGGATTTGTAGGCCAATTTAAACAAATGCATCCAAATTTCATTCACCACTATGCATTATAGTGTTCCTCCCTTAATTGACTCTATTTCTAAAATCCTTTTTGGGATAGTGGGACCTTAACACCCAAAATGAGAATACAGGGACTTGGTCATCAGCTATACGTTTGGTTAAATGGAATTTAGACCTACTATCCTCATAGTGATTTGATTTGAAGCAATTAGTTTAAAAACAAGTGATTTCAAAAATCAATTTCATACTGAGCAAGTCATGAGCATAATGCATAGGTCAGAGCGTTTTTCAAGAACATATGAGATCCCAGGCCTGAAACTATGCTGCTTGAAATGTGTATTTCCTTAAAGGAGCTGTTAAAAAAGTGATTTTCACAAGGATCAGAAGAGATGCACTTTTCATGCTGAGGAAAGGAAACGAGGAAACGCTTTTCAAAGAAAAGTAATACTGGAAAAGACTCATTATGCTGGTACGTTAAAGGAACTGCATCTTTGTGGCAGACAGTATAGCTTGTATTGGATTTCCATGGAAATAGCTACTGAATTAAGAGGTGTCCTCCCCTGAAACTTCCACTACAAATTCAGTGTAAAAACTTGTTATGTTTCATCAGACTAATTTCATTACTTACTGACTAATAGAAATTACATTTATTTTCTTGAGCTGCAAAGTATAGACATAATAAACCCATGGACAGAAAGGGGGAAAAAATGAGGTTTTCTTAGGATGAAATAATTTGAAATAATTGGGTCTGAGAAAACAACAGAGTGTAACATGCTCTGTATTTTTAAAGAAAGCTGATTTTCCCCAAATCCATGCCTATTAAAGTTTTATTTTCATTTTTTGTCTCTTTTGATTAAGAGGAACTTAAAAACTACTCATAAGAATTTTAGTTGCCATTGAGAGGTGCCTTTTCCAAGATTATTCTGAACAGTACTACTTTAGCCCCCTGGGGATCATGTAGGCAAGGGGTCTATTATACGCGCGAATATTTCTGTCAACCACATCTTTGCGCTGAGACAATATCAACTTACACTTTCTCTTGTCCTTCGTCCTTATTCCATAGGGGATAGTCTTAATTACTGGCAAGACAATTTACTAATATCATGCAAAGTGGTACACCATCATTGCTATGATGACTTACACCAGCTAAGAATCTGATCGCTGAATTTTAAACCATGATATTTTAAGTGTAGAAGCTACAGAACATTTTTCTGTCTCTAAAGGACCTCTATAGGTACAGCTAGTCTCCTTTAATTTACTGGCACATTTCTTCTAAATGATATGGAGTTTTTGAAAACAAAGACACCATGTTTAAACATTTGTGCTGCCCTGAAAAATTTAGAGCGCACTCCAGTAACGGTTTAAATCAACCCAACTCTAAACATTAATTTCAACACCTGTGCAGCAGGGTCATACTACTGAAATATTTAAAGGAATTCTAAAGAACACAAAACCAAAAATATCTCAGTTGAGGAACAGGATCACTATAATCCAGACTCCATTTTGTGATTACAGGTATTTTTAACCCATGCAGGCTTATTCCAAACTCTGTTGAAATCAATGGGAATTATTCTACCGACTCCAATGCACTCTTCTTTGCCAATATTTGATATTAGCCTTTCTTAGGGAGAAGTTCCTTACTGGATCAAGGAAGACATTTGTGCATCAGGCTTGCTGGAGATGGCTGGCTAATGAAACGTGGGCAATTTTATAAACACATCAGGGAGGGGAAACGCCCAATAGAAAAGATGTCATCTAGATATCCAGAAATTACAGTCTACTTGTAATAGAAATATAACATGGAATGTTTACTAATGAGTCATGAATTTCTTTATAATTGTTTCCACGTTTGGGGCAACTTCTTCCTAAATCATCCACCAAAACACTGCAGTTGAACGGAGTTTTGATAGTGGTTATGAGACAGTAAAGTCAGAACCATAACGCTTCTAATATATGCTAAAAATTGCGTATGCTGGGAAGGATTTTTTCGCTGCTCATATTACTTCTCTGAGGCCTCATTTCAATCTTTCTCTTTTTAAAGCTATTTTCTTATCCTACTTCTCATTTTCTAATATAAAAACAGGAGTTCTTATTAATTTAGAAGAGAAATAAAACTAAATAAAATTCAGGCAGCACTGTAAAGCATGATCTATTTTAAAGTTCCAACACAGATAATAAGAAACTCTATTAGACTATTTTGTGCTGTACTTCTCACAGACTCAGCTTTCTATAGCGCATTCAGTGTTGCAATAATGCAAATCAAGTACAAATTTTAATAACTCCTTCTATTAAAATAATCTATTAATGTTTTAAGACTCTAACACTTATGAGCATGATTCTAATTGCATGATTTTGCTGCAGGCAGGTTTTAAACATTTGCCTGATCTTCAGATATTTGCACTTTTAGGATTATTTTAAATAAATTAATTTTTGTAAGAGCTTTAGTCTCTCAGTAACAACAGTTGGGTTTGATGATGGTTGTCCTGTGGATAATTGTAGCATATCTAGTTCAATGTGAGGAAAAACTACATAAACGTAGAACTCCTCAGCTTGGAAAAGAGGTGACTAAGATTTATAAAATGACAGTTGTTATGAAGAATGTTGTAAAGAGAGGAACGTTTATTCGCCACTTTAGAACAAGGACCAAAAAAGGTTTAAAGTGAATAAAATAATGTATTGTTACACCGCACATAATTAAATTGCAGGAATTTCTGTCATAGAATACTGTATATACACAGATTCAAAAAGGATTAGAGATTCATGGAAGATAGTCCTTTGATATCATTAAATATTCGGGTTTTACTTAACTTGTACTATCCACCTTTCTCTAATTCACTGAGTGATGGGAACTGGGAAAATACATCTGGAGAAGAATTACATTGTGTTTGACTTCTTCACGCTTCCCTATATATCTGTTAGGGGTTTCTGGCACAGATCCGATAACGGGCTTGATGGACTTTGGTCTAACCCAGTACAGCTACTCCTACATAAGACGAGTAGTTGTTTTGAAAGGTTGCTCCTCTCTCCAGAAGCCTGTCCAAAAACTCAGGTTTGCTAGACATTCTGCACACTGGGATAGGGAAAGGGACAGGACAAGCTTTGGAAAGAAGAAAAGCAGGGAAGCAACACTTCCCTGCACTGAAAGCATTTGCTGGGTGGCTTGTGAGGACTCTCGCCTTGACACAGTACCCAGGAGTTATCTCTAGTGGTAGCCTCTTGGCCACTGGCACGCTTGCTCTCCTCGTTGTATGAAATCCTATTTCCCTCGAGCATCATTTGAAATTTATGCCAGAAGGTTTCCCTCCTTCAAGATGAACTGAAACTTTAACACCATATCGCACTCCGTACGCAACACTTTTCTATAGAGAATTTACTCCAACTTCTCTCCCTGGCAAATGCCTACATAAGCCTTGCACAAATGAACCTTAAAATAATTTTGGTATTTTGTTAGGGGTTAAGGGATTACTATGTACTGAATGTTGCTTATCATATGTTGAGAAGTGATTCCTTGTCTGTAAAAACAACATGTTTTGCAACGAATATGGTTCTACCCACTCTAACAGTGCTAGTTTATTAACAGTTAGCTCAACAACAGCTATTTGGTGTTGAATTCTGTCATTGGCATGACGGAAAATTTCCCCTGAAATAACACTTTTTTTCCTTACAGGATGGAATCTTCCTGGCAGGAAAACTTGATATGGATTTTACACTCTGGCAAAGAAATAGTGCTTAAGTTGTGCAAAGTCTCCTCAGACACATTTTTACATCAATGGAAATATTTTAGTTCAGTCCTATTTGAGAGGAACAAAAATTACAACAGACCATACGTACACAGGCCTCAAGAAACATAAGGTTTTACATCAGTGCACAACAGAATGGATACACAGAAGTATGGATAGTTTTAACAACATGTGAAATTTTGAATGCTAGATTGACTCAGCATACTAAGTTCTCAATTATTTCACCTCAGAAACCATCCCAAATAAAAATACACTGAGGTACTGAACTGATGATACAAATGGATTATGTGGAGAATAGAAGGAAAAAAAAAATAGTAGGTCTAGCCTGAGGTTTTTCATTAAAGCCTTGTTTTGGAAAAAGCCAAACAGTCAAAAAGGTTTACAGGAAACAACTGGTTTTGATGAAGCTTACAATCTAGAAAAAAAAAAAAAAAAGGAAAACTTCAAGTGTCCAACCTGACATTTTCTAAATTAACAGTTATATTTATTTACTTTGAAATACACTTTGCTTCCAAATTTTAATTTATAAATGAAACTGAAAAAATGAATTATCTTGAAATCACTGAACTGAAGCATTTCAAATGATCCAGTCTGATCTCTTTTTTTTTTATAGCTTATCAGTTAGCCAAAGGATTAGTTGCAAAAATGAAATCCTAAAAACACTCAAAGGACAGAAAAAGTACTTCCCTGCCACATATAAAATGAGAGAAAATATAATGGCATTTTCATTAGCACAAGGATTTTGCAAAATACCCACATTTTTGTAGAAATTCCACAAACTTGAACTCGGACACACTTTAAGTTTCTTTCATTCTCAGCGTGATGTTTGTATATGGTAAGTGACAACACTTTTTACTAGGCCTGGTCACATACACTCGGAGATAAATGACTGGAGAACCTGGAAAACTAGGGTTACGTGTAGAAGGTATTCCAGCCTCTACAGGGGTTATAGGTCCTATTTCATACATTGTCATTGGAAGAAGTTCAGGAAGAAGGAACAGGGAATTTCACACAGCTTTAGTCCACAGACCAGTGTGTTTAAACAGCAAATGATGATTAACTCTTAAGTAATTTGAAGCTGATAACTTGGGCTATCCAAGGAGAAAAAGCCCTGGACCCCATCAGGGGCTGAGCTTGGGAGGAGAAGAGAAAAGGGGAAGGCCTATATGGCTACACTATGGTGTAATGGTGTAGGGCAAGAACATCTTTAGATGCCTGCTAAATGTGTCAGGAATTTCTCTTCCGAACTATTACCCCCAGCTTTCTCAGGAACAGCCCTAGTCCTTTTATCTGTGAGCTATCTGGAAGTTTACTATCTGGCTAACACCTCGACTGAACCACGCTAAGAGTCAGCTAATTACACGTGAACGCTCTAATTTGCTTTACGTTTTTCTCAAAAATGTGCATGGGCAGGCATGCAAGTGAGTAAACTTTTACTCATACTGTAAAACTGTAGTACTGTGTAGCATCAGGGTACTAACCAAAGCATTATAAAATATGTTGCGTGCTCTCTGCCCCCTCTGTTGCTTTCCCCCACCAGGCCACCACCAATGCTTGTCATTCCTGATTTGCAACATCACCTGTTGTTCCAATACTAGGCTCCT